TTTTATTTTTATTTTTTTTTTTATTTCTTGTTTTATTTATTTTTTTTTCTTTTCCTGTTTTATTTTTTTTCATATTTCATTTTATTACATTTTTTTTTTTGAGTTCCCTAAGCCTTTTCCTTTCCCCTGTTGTATACTTCTTTATCACTTCCTACCCTAGTCTTAAGCCATTTTTTAAATGCCTTTCATACTATCTTTTTTTGTTCCTTATACTCTTTCCCCAGTAATTTTCTTGCCCTGCTCTCTCTACTCTAACCTTCTTCATACCTAACTCATCGGCTACTTTCCATATATTTTTAGTTAAGAAGTCCCACCGATCTTGTATGATTTTCCCCTCCCCTGTTATCCTCCCTGCTCTTGTGATTATTGCTTCCTTATAAGCTCAGTAAGTATCTCTAGCACAGAGCGCTAATGCCATCTCACGAGTAAAAATTATAATAGCTAGGTGGTATAAGTTGATAGGGTACAGCATAACCATAAAAAACGTGCAGTTTTGTTTTCAAGTTTTTCGTGATTATTAGGTTCTTGGTGGCACATGAGCATTCGTAACAATGGAATGAAGTATTTATTGCTTTACAAAGCTGAAATCTACGGCCGAGCAGGGTCTGTTAAAGCCCATGAGAGCAAGTGAGACGGTGAGAGGGACGAGCAGAACTGACCCTCTCTACTCTCTCTCTCGCTCTCACGGACCTGAATAGGCTTGCTCAGCCATTGATTTCTGCTGCTTGTTCAGCGTTTGTTTCAAAATATTATTGCTTCTACTTATTGAATACCTTATTTCATCGTTACAAAAGTTCATAAGCCTCGAAGTACCTCATCATCACGAAAAACTTGGAAACGAAACTACACTTTTTACATGGTTAAGCTGTACCCTATCAACTTGTACCACCTAGCTATTGAAACTTGCTTCCGACAGACGGCTCTGTCAGCGGTACTTACTAAGCGTATACTGTCTTGCTTTTTTTTATCCCACTCTAATTTAATTATTTCTTGTTCCATTCTCCTCTTGTCTCCCCCCCCCCCCATTTTTCTTTGTTTCGCTCCCTATTTCAAATACTACTGGGATGTGATCTGATTTAATTCTGGGTTCTACTTCCAATTTACATGTATCACTTTCTTTACCTCTATCAAACTCAAGAACTAGATCTAGTACGAAGTCACTTTCATCTTCTACATATGTCGTTTTTCTCTCCCAGTCCCCTTTCGTAGCTCCATTTTTTACTATTAGACTATATTTATCACACAAATTTATCAACTTTTTACCTTCGCTATTTACAGTTTCATCCTCAGACATTCTCATTTCTCTACAATCATTTATCTTTGTAATCTGTAGATCCCCTATTCTCACGTTAAAATCTCCTACTATTACAATTTTTTCATCTTTAAGCGCAAAATTTTCAAAGATATTTACTAAACATTCTATTACATACTTGATCCCTGATTTTTTATACACAATTATTAAATTAAATATATTTTTATTGACCAGGATCCCTTTTAGCATAACCCTAAATTCCCATTCTTCAAACTCTGTTCCTTCGATATCACTTTTTACTCCTACCGTAACCCCTCCCTTTGCCCTCCTCGTACTGTTTTCTCTGATTGCTGCCTTGCAGAACCACTTGTTATTACTGTCTAGTTAACTTATTACAAATTTTTCCCTGCTTTTCTCTAACCACGTTTCCTGCAGCATAATATATAACTTCAAAATCTTTCAAAAATTTCCATATTTCCCTTACCTTGTTTACCCCTGCTATGTTCCATGTTATTAACCTAATATTATTTTTTTCTTGCACTTGCTTCTTCTCTTTCTGCTCTTCTTTTGCTTGCTTGTGGTGTAGTGATTGGTGCTTGCATAAATTTTATGAGTTTTCAATTAGAAAATGAAGCAGTTCACGAACAAGGTTATGTTGTTATTTGCCATTGCAATTTTATTACATTAGTTTTAGTAATTAGAAAGTGACCAGTAGGCATCAAGGGTTGTATGATGATTGGCACTTGCGATATTTTATTTATATTATAAATCAAGACAGCCAATAGTAAGCACCCTGTGTTATGTGGTAATTGGTGTTTGCGTTGTTTTATTTATTTAATTAAGTAAGAAAATGACCTACAATCACTTCGGGTTGTTTGGCGATTGGCACTTGTGTATTTATTTTATTTATTTTAATCAATGAGAAAGCAACCAAATCGTTAGTAGAAGGCTTTTAATAATAACAGAATTTTTAAACAATGTGTAGAAGAACAAAGTGGTATAATTAACAAACTGGACCTAAAAAGTTTAATTTTTCGCAGCTATTTAAATCAGTAAAAAAAATTTTTTCTTACGTCTTTTTGGAAAGAATAAAATTTAATGCGTTTCTTATAGAATTTTGAAAGTAATCTTATCACTGCAAAAAAAAAATTTTTTTTTTAGCCTGATAAAGTTTCTTTTCATTAAACAAAAAGAATTCTTCAAGAATTTTAATACAGTGGACATTCGCGATTACTTAAGTAGTTAATAAGTATTCTTCTTGATTACTTTTGGGAAAAAAGAATTCTTTTTG